TTGGCAGTGGTGGCAGTACATGCAAATTGTCTTCATCTCGGTATTTATCATTCCCCTTGTGCTCGTCCTCTTTTGGGGATCGCTGATGCTTTCCAAAGACAAATTGTCCGCCAGGGAGTTCTTGACTTCCTGTGCATTCCCTTTGCCTTTTCTTTTCATCTGGCTCTATCGCTACGTTTTCAAGAAACCAAGTTTGCACGAGTTTAAACTGTTTTGGGGGAATACCTATGATGCCGAAGAAATTAAGAAAGTTCTCCATGATCCATTCCGTCCACCCTGTGGTGATGACTATGGTACACTGTACTGGGAGAGTGTGCTGACCGGTCGGAGGTTCCTACTATTGACCATTGGTAACTTCATTACTGATCCTTTAACACGATTCATCTGTTTGGATTTCGCATGTGTTGTAACTCTGGTGCATCATCTTGTGTCGAGACCATTTCGTGACCGTAAGGCCAACATATGTGAAGCCCTTTCTCTAATGAGTCTGGTTGCTATTTGCACTTTCAACTTGGCAGAAGTCACCCTTATCGCCCAGGGACTCGAGCCTACTGGACCTAAAGAGAACCTTTTCTACGCGTTGGAGTGGATCGAAGTCGCTTTGCTTGGCTTTCTACCAGCTATAGCCTGCATCCTGATGGTTCTCGCGGCCTTGTCTCAAGTCATACGGGTGCTGTACCACTACCTCAGACTACTACCGAGAACCGTGTGTCTGCGTTCTCATTTCTAAAAGTCCTGTCAAATCACTGTGCAGATGGATACAACAAGGACTGTCATATGTAATGTTTATCATGTCATTAACTGATAAATTGTTTTGTATCATCATCTATTCGCCAACAGTATCCTAATTTTTAACAACTTTAAGATAGTTTATTTGATTATTTTAACACTTTTAATAGCCTTTTGAGAAAAAAGAATTTGTTCTATGTGTGAATGAGTTCTGCAGCTGGTAAGTTAAAGTCTTCTGACCGGTTTCCAAGATTGTAAGTCTGTATAGATCTTCCATGGTAACTAAAATGAGGTACGAGCGATTTTTAAACGTTTTGGGACCAACGTAAAGAGTAGACAAGTACACTGTTTATTAAAGTAAAAAATAACATTTGTTGCCAGTTCTTCGTGTTGATATATTATCACTTTGCAACGAAAGACTTTTATTTGCAAGTTATGGAAAACTACGTAGGTTTAAGAGCTAAGCTTGCATTATTCTTGACATTTAGAGTTCTCAGGAATCTTATTAAAATGAAAACAACAAGGCATCGAGCACTAAAAGATAGAATTTTGTGGGACTTTGTCCTCCGCTAGATAACCACTTTCCATTCTTAATTAACACATTTTTTCATTCTGTTAAGAAATTTTTTTTGCGAGATGCCAATGAAACCACATTTTAAATTTATTCTTTAGAATTGGATATTTGTAATTCTTTCAGGAGGTAGACTTGATCTATACGATTCTATGAGACAGCGGGATACTTAAAAAGAAAAACCTTTATCATTAGATCATATTGACTTTCAACGGGAAAATTCCTTCTGTATAAAACTGAAAGTTTTGCGTTTGAACTTATTCTCAATAAATACGATTTATGAAAATGTTTAGTCAATTAATATTCTTAATAACTCTATTACACAATAGTATTACATAGACGTGACAGCCCATAGACGTCAGGGTAATTAAGTGTTAACAACTGAGTTGGCCACAGGAAAGAGTTTAAAGGCTGACGTTTCGAGCGTTAACCCCTCGTCAGACGAAGTTAAATTTTTGCAATGGAAAAAAAAAGGGAAAAAAAAGTCTCACGGACACAAATAACAATAAATTGGGTAAGATTTGTCAGAAACGAATTACAGTCGTTTCGCCTACCGTCTGTTCGCATACGTCTAGAATCGATTCGCCCACGTCCAATATGTCAGTTCGCCTACATTTTAAACTCCCTACTATGACAATCATTGTATGAAACAGTTGATTCAATTGAAACAAAAATTAATGATATTCGAAAATTATCGCAGGAAAATTTGATATCGCAACTAATGAATTCTAATGATTACTATGTTGATTGTGTTCATCTCATCGTGCTTTGAAATGAGAGATAAATTTATTTGACTCTTTTTGGAAAATTGGATAAATGTTATGATATATATCAATGTTGCAATTGTATCCTGATGTTTAAATTACTGTAATTATTATGCTTTCCAGGCTTTTACAATGCTGTATTGTTGTAGTCATGCAGATAAAGCTCACTGTTGTTGTTGATTCACCTACTTGATGTGCGGAATCGGAGTGGCGATTTAATTCGTACTTGGTGTGGTGAAACTACAAATGTTAACCATCGCTTTTGAGTTAAGTTGCCTTCATACGCATAAAATCAAGCTACGATGACATAAAATTATGAATTACGGTCGTTTACGCGAAAATCGCCGCTTTTGAGTTGACTTGACTTGACTTCGAACGCGTTTTAAAAAGTCATGCAAATACATTAACATCTCCAGTTTCGAATTACACGGTTCTCCAATTACACCCTTAATGCATGTTTGTGATGTACGATGGTAATTCTGCACGATACGTGTTCATTTCGCACATTTTAGAGTAAATTCGTTGGAATCACTCAAGGAAACCAGACCAAAAGTTTTTGGTCTGGTTTACCAGAAACCTTGAGTGATCCATTCGTTGTCTATTTGCGTTTCGTAATATGTATTAATCAGTCACTGTTACATACAAACTGATTTACTGCTTACATATAAAATAAAATTTACAAATGCAATTTAATTAGTACAAACAACATTTTGAGACCAATAAACATACTAATTAGTAATTTTTACTTATTACATGCGGGGGGACGTTTGGGTTGTCCGCGTGACACCCGCCCCTGGCCAGTCCTTACTGCCTGTCTATACGTAGCCCTGTCAACACCAGTGTGGCGGTGTTGCCGCCTGTCGCATCCGCCGCAGAGTAGAGTTTCTTGGCGGAAGGTGACGATTTGTGGGCAAAATATGCAGTCAAATTCCGGCTCTTACTTGGTGTAGAAGACACAGTATGCGTCACACTATTGTTTTCATCGTTTTCTTCTTTCCGGTTGTGATGAAATTCTATTGTAATGTATACTGTGTCTTCTACAGCAAGTAAGAACCCAAATTCCTCCATGATTACCGCCGCCTGGTTAGCTCACGTGGATGAGCGCCGGACTATTGTGCAGAAGGTCGGCGTTCAAGACCCAGTCCGGACCCACACTCAAAATGACTTAGGAGAATGTAGTCTTCTCCGATAAGGACAAAAAGCCGTAGACTCCGTCTCCTTCATCTTCTCGGTACTGGTTAGTAAGGGAAGTTAAAGCACCACACACTTATCGCAAAGAGTAGGGAACGTAGTTCCCGGTGTTGTGGTCTACCCTAGATTCTGAAATCGGGGGTATCTGC